GAAGTAATGCTGCAGTAACGAAGCGCTTTACGTGCATAGGGATAACAGCAACTATACGAAATAGGTGACTAACCTAAAATAAACCTACGAAATACAATTTGCAAAAAAGTGAAGTGATACTGATATTTGAAGGGCAAGGGCAAAGCACTTTTCAGACCAGATGCTATTGACAGCTTCGAAATGAGAGAGGAGGGGGAATGGCGACACAATAAATGAATTATTCTGCAATATAAGTCAAAACGGGTCGCGCAACATTTGCAGCACAAAAGGCAAAAATGAAGCCTCAGTACTACGAAACAGCTTCAAAAAGAAACGCGAATCAATGGCCCACAGCGAGGGTTAGCGTTCTAGAAATAGTTAGCCTTGACCCCACCATGAAGGAAAATTCCGTTATTCGCCGATAGGCAAGAGTGAAGCATCAGGCTTTTCTTTCTCTTGATGAGACCCCCCACTGCTTTCTCTGTTTCACTCCCTACCCCTCCTCGATCGCTCTCTTTCCCGCCTGATTCGCACGCTCTCTTTCTCTCTTACGGGCCTCCACTACACGGCCGGCTTGTTTTCGTGCAAGGTCACTCACACGCTTGCCTCGACTTGGCCCGCGGTAGAAGCGAATGACACGTAAACCGCGCTCGCAGTTGAATCATTCCGCGTGTACAGTACTACGTCGACCGTGATCGTCAGGCTAACGTAAACAGCTGACTCCGCGAATGGCGTCGACCTTATGACCTCAATAGCAGTTCACTCGGCTGGGAAGGGTTTCAACTGGTGATTCTATAGGGTGAGGTTCTATGGGAATTCTGTGAGCTCCCAAGGGCATGACGCGTGATGCGTTTCTTCTCACCGAGTTTAAAGGATGTTCTATAGAAATAAAAGCTCATATCAGATGAATTGTCACGTTGAACTTTTTATGCAGTACCGTGGGCGCTTAAACGTACATAGAGGAGCGTTTGATTGAGCGTCATTCACGCTGATTCTGTTCATCCTCGTTATTTGTACTCGTGGGTGGACTTATAGCATAATGTAAAGTAAGAAAACATTGTGCAACTTAGTTCATAAGCCTTTAGTAATCAGAGCAGGAAGTTCAAACATACGAGACAGGATTGGAAAGGAAGCTACATACGGTTTCATTCATTTCTCCTGTGTCACAGTTTGTTCGTGTTCTATGAGGCATCGTATTTGTTATCAGGACCAACCCTACACTCGTCTATTTATTCCTGACCACAGCTTGTTTTTTAGGGATTAATTTCGCTGTTTTCTTTTGTAACCTATGCTCACTACACCTTACCTTACCTGTACTATTATATCGTGTATTATGCCAGAATCCCCGCACAATATATAAAAAAAAACTTCGCTTCATTTAGTTTTTGTTTCCCTGTTAGAACTTTTCCTTGTTGAATTCCTGTCTTTGTTTTTTGGAGGTGTTATACTTTTACAGATTCGTTTTCTTTTTGCGAACGAATTCTTCTCTAGTTCTTCTAATTTTTCTTTTTTAAAAATGCTTTGTTAAATATGTCCGTGTTATTATTTCCTTTTTGTAGAACTTGATTTCAATGCAAAGCATGTGCATTGTAGGTTTGGATTGCGTTTAAACTTTGCTTTTCTCATTTTGCTGCCAATGTGAATCTGAGACGTGGAGCATGGTCAAGCTGTTTGATGCAGAATTTTCCACCTATGCCAACCACTGTAAAACAGCATGTGATAAATAAACTCAACTCATCAGGCTCGAGAGAGTAGGTTTATTAACGTCATGGTGGCCCCATTTTGACAGGTGCTACATGCAATAACTTCCAGTCACATAAATTTAAGTACGTGCCTTTTCAAGAACTCCAGGTGGTCAAAATTATAGACGAGTCCCCCACTACGGGCGCACCTCGTAAATATATCAGTGTTTTGACTCGTAAGACCTATAAATTGGTGTCACATTTTCAGCCAATTACATCAAGATTTCTATAGAAGATACCGCGATTCCTAAAAAAAGATACCGTGGTTACCAATTGGTTGCTCGAAATTTCGTTTTATCCAATGATAATGATGTAGTACGCACCTTCGGCACTGCTAATTCAGCATCCTCGTTTGACTTCTTCACCGCTATGGCTGAACGTTGGAGCGTACGTTTGCATTACTTGTTGTTTACATATTCCTTTAGTTATATTTATAAGAACTAACTGACAATGATGCCAAGAGAAGTATGGGAATGTTATTAGAAGTAGTTGTATTGTAAATGGGAAGAAAGAAAAGCGGACGAAAAGATAACTTGCCAATGGAATGTCATTGAGACACATTCATTTATACTTATGTAGTTATCTGCTACTGAGCTTCATTTCCTATTTAGGCAATGTTTTCACCATCACAATAATTTTCAGCCTATTTTTATGTTTACTGCAGGACGAAGGCCTTTCGTAATGACTCCAAATTCAGCCACTCTTGGGCCAACTCATTTCATTTTGTGCCCGTGAGCTTCTTAATTTTGTCATTCCATCTAACCCTCGGCCGTACTCAACTGGGCTTAAAAATAGATGATGATGCCTCAAAGAGCACCATCCTATCAAAAGGACGTTTTTAGCATTTTCTGCAGCTTTTTTTGACGTACGTCTTCCTAAAGCAACACTAAAGTTAAATAACAACTTACGTCAGGTGAAAGCTCAATGTATGAAAAATTCTAAAACAATGATATTATCAACGGCAGGGCCCTACTTACCGAGAAATTAACTCTTTAATACCTGAATTATAAAACTGCCGAAGAAAATAAAAAAAATGGTTCCATTTTCCAGCTTTACATAGCAACCGTTTAGTGATTACACTGCTAAATTATCCAAAATGCACCTTTAATGCATACAGGTACGTGGCGAATTCTCCAAATGTCCCAGAAGCGAGGACCTTGCAAGAAAAAACGTGCTTAGTGCGTGGCGCGCACACACTAAATAAACAAAATGATCGAAGCTAGAACTTGCGTCAGCCAGGCGAGAAATAACGAAGAAACTAGTGGTCTTGCACGCGCCTTGCGCTCTCCGCCATCAGTTATAAAACAATCGGTTGTAGCATAAAAAAACATACACGAGATAGCGCTAGATTTTTTTAAGGTGAAGTCTACATTCCCCGTGAGTACTTTACTGCCGTCATTAATGGTGGCACGCTTTCCATGACTTGCTGGCTCGATGTTTTTCGGTATGTCGCGAGTTCGTGACAATGGCAGTAAAGCATTAAGGTAAATGCACGAGAACGAATCCGCTACGCCTAGTACATTCACAAAATGATCCAGATGACGTGAGAGGTACTGCCTACAATTATACACTAATAGTCGAACTAGCTGTACTAAATAAAGAACCTCCTGTGCGTCTAGACATAGTAAAATGCTTCTTGTTCGCTTCTATTTGATTCATGGAAAAAAGAACCGCCGGACGTTACTCCGGGGAATGGTGCGAGTGGTTTAAAAGTTGCAATTTTTGCATGGTTAAACTGGACAGGTCGTCCCATCTAGCGGGGCCCAGTTGAAACAAGCACGTCTGTCATCTTGGAGGCTATGACAGGAAATTGTTCAATGAACGTTGTTGCTGCTGTGGCTCCCACGACTTTCGTCCTGCTGCTATTATTGTCGGAACGTCTCACGTCACTGTTGCCAACGTTGCCCGGCAAAACCGGGCAACGTTGGCAACAGTGACGTGAGACGTTCCTCTTGAGGCGGGTGAATTAAAGAGCGCTAAACCGATGCGGGCCTCTAGAAAGTGATTTTATTTCAAAACAAGCACTTTCTTGGCACAAATGTAACACTACGAGGTTTATGCACCGTTATTTCAACAACCAACGTAGACCTAATAGTTGCCTTTAGTGTCCTTAAACATACACAATTCCTGTTCTTAAGTAGATGGATCTTTGTATAATATGCTAAACTTTAAAGATAGTTTTATAGAGTTTCATACCCGAGAACTATCTAACATTTGGGCACAAATTCCAGGTATGGAAAGAAAGCTGAAACCCCGATGATTGTAACATCACTGTGACGCCATACGAGCCGTGGCCGGCCTTTTCATTCGCGGTAATTACGCCTTCCTCGGCATGGTGTCTCTCGAAGGTTATATTTATTATCTGTGTAGAAAGAGAATGAAACAACTTGTCGAACGTTATGTCTTTATACCCTCAGCTTCGTGATACGGCAGTTGACTGAAACAATAAACGTCTTTTTTGTGATGAAACACACGTGTCGTCTGTGCAGTCTTCGATAACCACTTTCACTCTCACTTGCAAAAAAAAAACATTATTAAAGTTATATGGTTTACCATGCCCCATTACTTTCTATATTGTTTGCGTGTAGGAAATGTTATCTTAGCTCTAAAATGCGATGACACGCCTCCATGAACGCACTGCGCCTGGAGCTCACTATCTGTGCACACACTAAGCGCGCACTATAAGCGCGTGCACACTACGTTTCGAACACGTTGTATGTGTTATTCCAACTACGTGAAACCGGAACACCTCCCCCCCCCCCCCACGTCTTCGTAGAGACCTTCGCTCCAAGCAGAATCATCTTAATATCACCAGCCTTTTTACGCTAAGATTTGTTGTACAAGGCTGCAGAGAATTTCTTGCAAGAAGATAAGTGACAAATCTAGTCACTCGCCGAGTGGCTTCGACATTTTTGATAAAAAGCATCATGGTAAAATTGTTTTAAAATTTAGAGGGCATGGTGAGTGCGGGCAGGGTGTGAGATAACCCTTCAAATATTCTCCGGCCGAAGCTATATGTGCGTGCTATTCTCAAATGCTCCAATTGTCTGGCTGACCATTTCGCTATAGTGCTTAAAAGACGTCTTTATTTGCAGTAGAATGGCAAGTTGATTGCACCCTTAAGGAGAGTCTAGATACTCATGTGCCAGCTTAGACCTTCGTTGCTTTGCAAATGAGTTACCTGTGCCCCTTGTGCACGCAAGTGTGCACTGGGACGGGAAAGTGCAGCATTCTGATCACTTTGTTAAAGAGGGTAGTAAACGGAAGCTAAACTTGCAGGTGGTCAAGCGTCTTCAGGAGAAGTACGGCCCGTCGCTTTACAGCGAGGAGAACATTCTGCTGACAGCGACGCACACGCACTCGTCGGTGGGCGGCTTCATGCAGTACCTGCTCTATAACATCCACACCCAGGGCTTCATCCGCCAGGTGGCCGACGTCCAAATCGACGGCATATGCAGGGTACGTCTCGTCCACATGCTTGGATATATATATATATATATATATATATATATATATATATATATATATATATATATATATATATATATATATATATATATATATGTATATATATATATATATATATATATATATATATATATATAACACACCAGAACTCGAGTTAGCCGAGAAATGATTCAATATCGACAGGCCGAGTTCTTGTTTTTTCATGAACCCCGAACTTACTGCCCCAGTAGTCGCTGCAAGCGAAAAATGGCGACTTGATTTGACGAATAAAGCAAACGACTATGCTTGCGGTGCATTTTTTGTTGCAGCAAGTGTGCACAAATACACAAAATTTGAATCTCTCGTAGTAACACAAAGTGGATTGCCATAGGCGTAGACAATAGCAGATAACTATTGGGTCCGTAATCAGTTATGACTTCGTACGAGAAAAAAAGTTTTAAGAACAGGTGCTGGCCAATCGTGTACATATAAAGGAGAGTAATGGCAAATGACTTTATTTAATGATACGAAAAAAAAGAAACGACTCGTGAAATCGGCGCGCTTGTCGTACAAATCCAGTACTAATCATGCGCGTAAACTGCGAAGCATTCGAGGGGAGCTATTACTGTTACATTTTTGGCACACCTTGCGTAATCGTAAGCTTGTCAAAGAACAATGCAAGACAAGTCTGATGAACTTGAAAACTGGTGCAGGAGGAACGAACGGCAGCCCTGTCAGTGGTAGCGGGTTGACGTTAAGGGAACGGGCTCTGTGTGGGTGACTAGAGGTTAAAGTAAACGCAGCTGAGATCTGCCCAAGCGGTGGCGGACACGTCATTCTCGTTCCGTTAAAATGATCGTCAAGATGGGCTAGTTGGCAAAACTTTCACGCAGTTCACATGGAGATTTTTTTGTCGCGATAGAACATAATCAGGATAATATCAGACTAACAACGACTTTTTAGATCTTGGTTGGAACTCTTAAGCATCTCAGAGCTCATCAATTACAATTTAGGTATCGTGTTCTATAAATATATAACCAAGGCACTACCTCCAATCTGCTTCTCATCTACTGATCTGTTTGCCCATAGTAAACTACATTTGCGCATACACAATAATGTTCTTTTGCCTAAGGTACGCCCTAATTATGGTAAACGGACTGCTGAATTTTATTCATATTGTTATGTATACAACTACCAGTTTCTATAAAAATGCAAAATTACATCAATTTAAGACAGAACTGAAATCACACATTATGCATGCTTAGTATTACTGTTCATTTTCATAGCTTCAGTTTGTTTTAATTTTGACACTCAAGTATAACAGCTTTTTGTGTTCTTTTTCAGTTATATTGCTTAGCATTATTCGTTGCTTCATTTTGTTTATTGTGTACATTTTTTTCGTCTTATACATTCCTTTAATGTTCTGGTGCAAACGTGTTTAGTTTACACTTTTGATTTTTGCTTATGTTGCCTAAACATTGTTTTATCACAATTTGCCTTTAACAAGAGGTCTCGATACAGTCTTCAACTTAGGGACCTTTTTATGTATACTAAATACATGTAATATTTTTGTATTCATACAATTAAAAAAAGCTGAAAAAAACTCCTCTTGAACTTTTAGAGAGGAACCAATAATTATCGGGAAATTGGAATTTGATAGAGCTTGGTTGCGATGAAAACTATTACGGAGTGTTGTGGGTTGTTTTTCTTGCCTACATTTTTTGTTTCATCGTGTTCAGGTTGCCTACTTAGGGGCGTACCAGCTGGGATCACTCGCCCGCACCTACGAGGAAATGTAGTGTGCTATTGGGTTCAATCCTAACCGTTGCTCGAAAAGGGGCCAATATAGAATCTTAAGGCGCAAGGCGTTGCACACGAATGCAATGCTCGCGTATACGCTGTGATCAGCCGACGATGGATGACTTGTCCTCGCAGAGTATTGACCAAGCACACGAGGGCATCCGGAAGGGCTACATCTACTGGAACGAAGGCGAGCTCCTGCACGCCAACATCAACCGCAGTCCATACGCATACGAGGCAAATCCAGCTGAGGAGAAAGCCAAGTAAGTAGAGCATTCTCTTTATATTCTGGGTACATAGAAGCGTTTGGTCTATCATAAGTATAACCATTTTCAATTAATTAATTCATTCATTCCGCCTTTCACTTGTAGATATTTTTTCTTGTCCAAGGCAGTATGATTCTCGCCGAGTCTGTTCCAGTGGATGGTTAAAATGCTCCGCGCTACCAAAAAGTTGTTACCTTCAAGTAGGACATTCAAGATAAAAACATGCGGCCACAGACTGGCCCGAGCGTGGTTTGCCATTCTCACGCCTGGTTGCGTGATATCGTAGCCGAGTTCGTCACCTCTTGCATCATCACCACAACTTGTCTCTGGTTAGCCACGTGCTCATAGCGGTGGCCAAGCTGCGCAGTATAATGTGCCGGATTCGGTCGCTTTAGCGGGTGTGCCTGCTCTAGTCCCTCCTCCTGGGGCGCATAAGAATATATTTGCAAGAAGGCCGACCAAACCATATAATTCAATTGTTGAAACGTTTACTTAGGGTGCCTGTAGAGGCTGCAGATGTTTGTCGTTTCTGCTGCCCTTCGCGGAAAACGTATACCTAATTATTAGTGGGTTGCTTTCGTTTGTCTTTCGCAAACTTTCCCCAAACTCTTTTCACAACTTTACTTCGTATCTGGTTTTTGTGGTTTTGTACCAATTTCGTAAAATGACATTCAGCACAGTAGTGTGTGCGTGTGCGCGTGTGTGCGTGTGTGCGTGTGTGTGTGTGTGTGTGTGTGTGTGTGTGTGCGCACGCGCGAAGTTTTTTTTCGGAGCTGCAAGATCCCGCTTGAATGGAATGTGGTCTACCATTTACTTGTCTTAAACTTATTGGACACTGCGCTAAATTTTGCCGCCGCCAGTGCTTTCCTTAAGACAGATCGCTTAGCAGAACGCTGCTGTATAGTTTCCTGCAATCAGCTTCTCCGCGAGCAAAAAAGAGCAAGAAGCTCCTGCCTCACTGCCACTCCATTTTCATCGCCATGCACCGTTTGGGTTCGGGAGTACGTGACGGCACGCTTTTGTTTCCCGAAGCGGGCCTTTTGCCTCAACGGAGCATGTTGTCCGTTCTTACAAATATAGCGGCGAATAAGACACGCGCAAACGCTTGAACGCAGCTGTGGGCGGCTTCGGCTCGGCTTCCTAAAATAGCGACTACATTTCTGGCCAACTATATCACTCACCACGCGCAAAGACTGTTGCTTTATTATGTCAGTCTGCCGGACGATTGAAAAAAAAAAAACGCATTACCTTGAGCGCACGGCTGCTGGCACGGCAGGCTCCGCCGGTGGTTGCTGGGGAGACTCAGCTTATGCATTGTGATGAAAGAGAAATCCGGCGTGTTTGAACAGCCTTCCGCCCCCATCGCTCAATTTCACGGCGCTGGAGGCCATGCGACCCGATTGTAGCGTTTCATTCGCTAAGAACTGAACAGACTGAATATTTCTGCGAATATATTTAAAAGCGGGTTCCATTATAGATATTGCTTCTATACTGGCGGTAATTTGGTGAGGGATGATACGTGTCCTTAAACACCGAGTAAATGCAGTTCATTTTTTTAGGCTCCTAACGTCGGACGTCTCATTGTAACTTGCAAAACTTCACGCATTGTAGCGCTTGGTGACGCTATCGTTCACTACACAGACCGGTGAGCGTACACTCCCCAGCGGCTCGGTCTTCTTCCTGTGACATCGCTTATCAATCATTCACAGCGTTTAATCAGGGGGTCAGTCATAGAAAGATTGCCATTCCTTCGAAGGTAGTAATTTTTTCCTCGAAATACAAAAGCTGATAGGGCTTTTACAAGTCAGAAACACTTGTAGGCGTCTTCGTTGCGCTCCGGACTAATCGACAAAAAACTCGTGAATTAGCTTTTTTGCTATTACATTAAGGGCAGTTCTCTCCATTAGAAAGTTGTAGTGCATGCGAGACAATTCTTAGCATACCCATTTTTGTTTTTTTAGAAATCAAGAAAATTGCACGTTATTTGACTAATTCAAGAGTGATTTTTAATGTTGATATTGAAAGTAATTGCACCCAGTGTCCAGAAAGCGAGGCTGTTCAGTTACGTCAGAAAGAAAGCTCCTAGGACAGATAAGTGAAGAAATTTGAATGGAGGAGCGTTGAAACAGATTGTGGTCAGAATGTGGTCGTTTCCTATGAAATAAATGAGTAGACCACTCATTCTTTGCGCGAAATGTGTCGTGCTTACCTGCTACTTTGCTAAACTATAAACTGGGGCGATGGACTCTTTCACTTTTATGGAAGAAGTAGTGCTTCAGTGGCGGGCCCCGAGTTTTATGGTTCAGATTCGAAGAGGACGTTGATACTGCATATTATCGCGCACACGTCGAAATAAGCAGATAAGCACTAAATACCACATGCAAAGATAGGGCGATCCTCTGGCGTAAATGTGATGACTTGCCTCTTTCAACGAAAAGATGCTGCTGCGATGCGCTTTCATTCAAATTTCGTCCCCTCTGTCATGGAAGTTCCAGTCGGACGTAACAGAGCGGCCGCGCGTCCGACGCGCTGACCATGGTGAGGTTTCATATGACCATTGAAATTCGATGATGACTATTTCAAACTATGCTCAAATATTCTGACTTCTGAGAGATAGATAGGCCATGAATTGTCATGATCTACAACTTTCTAATATGAATAACAGCGCGCAAGTCAACAATTAAAACGTCAAATAAGGAGTTTGTTAATTATTCGCTACAGTGATTTTAGCTCCGACAAAGTATTTCCACCTCGACGTAGATGTATGGATTTCGAACAACAATCTGCGTGACCTTAAAGACATACAAAAAACACATTGTATGTACGAAAATCATTCAAAGGAAGGATATTGTGATATTTGCTGGCTACTTTCACAATTCTTCATAATTCTTTTATGTGAAAGCAGACATCTCACAATGAATAGATATCTTAAGTAATTACGCCTGTAAGCGTAGAAACTAAGACACGCTTATTAATTAGGCTTGACAGGTGATCGGCTCAAATGAGCTGATTCAGGATTATATCGAGTAGTTCATTGCCGCTTGGAGATATTAAAAAAAAAACGGCCCCTGGTTGTTTTCGCGGAGTAATTAGAAATCGAATTAATTTTACCAGCCGAACCCAAACTTAAGCACCGCAAATCTCAACTGCCATAATTTCTGACAATGACTACAGTGGTGTATTCGTTAACATAGACATGCTCCGCGAGTGTTATCATGAGTAGGATAGCTCACACTCTTACGAAGCGAAGGAATGCGGTGGTCATTTCGCCCGTGATGAAGTAGTAACGACGAGCGAGGGCGCGGAGACGCTGCTTTTTGCGTTTGCGAAAGGTAGACTGACTGTCTGACGTCATAACATGCATGGAGGCGGCTGCAGAATTTGCTTCCAGATCCAATTTCATTCATTCGTTCTATGTCAATGCTTGCTCTTTCTTTTTATTGTGATTTAAATTTATATGTACGTGTTCAAGCACATTGACCTGTTGTAGGGGTGACAAATGGGCGAATTGAACTTTTAATAACGAATGATAACGAGATAAAAAAAGAATTAATATATATATATGGTTGCTCCTTTATGGGCCTCACGACGCTGCAGTCACGAGAGATGCTTCACTGCTGAAGTTCAGTGTTGCCGTATAACAACGTTTTATTCGTATCAGAGTATTTGACTACAGGTGAATGAGCATTGTTAAACACTGTTGTTACCGAAATGTGGCCGCTAGTTTCAGTAGTCGAATCTACCACTTATTGCTCAACAGCCGACCACTACTCAGAGAGCCGCTGCGGCGGGTTGCTTTCGAATGCACCGAAGTAAAGAATAAACTGAGCAGACAAAAATAAACGAGTACCGGGGGCAGCTGAAACATCCGCAAACACAGGCTTCAAGAAGCGCAGTTGCGAGAAACAAAGCGCCGCGGAAGCGTCCATATTTAACATCGGGGGTCCGCTTGAAACGCGCCTGCTGCTGGGCGTCGTCGCGTGGTGAGAAACGCTCGTACAGCCTAGCAATACTGGCTATGCAGAGAGACGTTCTCTGGGCGACGATTTCTCATTACTTGGAGCTCGCAAGAGCGACCAGTAGATCGTGCTGCAACTCTGGCAGTATTCGCTGTCTGTGCAAGCGCGCGAAATTGTGTGCGCAAATGGCCTATCGTCCACGGGACTTGCAATTTTTTTTATGTAATAATTTAATCGTTTACTTTGTAATCGCATACTGCAGCCGAAACTTGTTTTTCTCGATTGATTGATTGATATGTGGGGTTTAACGTCCCAAAACTACTATATGGTTATGAGAGACGCTGTAGTGGAGGGCTCCGGAAATTTCGACCACCCGGGGTTCTTTAACGTGCACCCAAATCTGAGCACACGGGCCTACAACATTTCCGCCTCCATGAAAAATGCAGCCGTCGCAGCCGGGATTCAATCCCACGACCTGAACACGTTTCTGTCGGCGAGACGCTGCAAGCGAGCACCGTGGAAAGTACTGCCAGTATTCTCATGTTGACACGCGGTAAAAATAAATTCACGTGCGCCCCGAAACAACCGTGTGCGTCGTTTTTTCCTTGTGCGACTTTAGCTCGTTTTCTCTTTCGTTGCCTCGGAGTGTATTATCTTGCGTCATTGGAGAGAAACATCACGACTACATATTTCCTCATAACTCGCAGAGCGCGTTCGTGAGGGAACTCGCGAAAAGTTAGGTAAGAAAAAATGCACTGTATCCTCGTCATGCACTGAACATTACCACATTACTGCAAAGGCTTGGCCAGTTCTGTGAGGTGTTGCGAAAGATACATTTACTTCACCCCACTGCCTGCAATAACTAGGCAAAATGCCTTCCTTGTGAGAAGGTTCTTATGGTTTATCCCAAGCCAGCTTCTTACAGCGACTTCCTTTGTTGCCAATGATCTTGGATGTGGCCGTACTAAATAAGCAAGTGTTGGTCCTTCAAAACAAGAAAGTAATAAAAGATGCCTAGCGAGGCTATAAAAAAAAAGACTTTTTGCCAAACATTTCCAAGATTCACATATCTATTCGAATAAAGTGAAGGAGTATTCTGCTTGAACATTCAGACGTTACTACAAATGACGCTAGCTTATCTCGTGTTGCTTTCGCTCTTTTAGATACGCTGTACAACTACGAAATAAGGCACGCAATATGCGAGAACTTTGTAGTACTGGTTGCTTGCCCATTTTCTCGCATGATACTCGAGAGGTGTGGATATTTTCTGTACAACTATATCAGGCCATGTGTGCCAAGAATGATATTGCTGCTTTTTTTTCTGTCAATGGGTATTTAGTGAAACGTCATTTACGTACATAAAGACGTTTACGTACATGTAGAGCAAGTCATTTTATATCGAACACTCACGCATATTAGTGCGTATATCACAGATGCCCAGGAAGATGACTGCTGCTCCAGGCAAGCCTATCTACGTCGCTTACAATTGGACATCACCAAACAGGCGTTTGCTGCAATAAATGATGTTGGAATTTTATTTTTCTCTCTATAGATTTTTATAATTGTTGGTATCCATGACAGCAGCTGTGTAACAAGACTTTTTTGTGTCGCAGGTACAGGAACAACACGGACACAAAGATGCTGCTTCTCAAGTTCACAGATCTAAAGAACAACCCAGTAGCAATGATAAAGTAAGCACTCGCATTTTTAGGGGGGACGATGTTCAATTGTCTTGGGAAGCCGCATATTTTGTATTGCGATATTAAAATTTTGCGGTTATGCTCTAGTGGGTCTCTGCTACATGCGACCAGTAGTTGTTTATGATTACTAGCTTTCCTTATCCGATATGACTTTTTCCCTACTTCACTCGTAGGTATAGAAGGACGCCGTTGTTGCGGCTGAGAGATGGCGCCATGTAAAGATGTCCCTAAATCTTGGGAATTCGACGTCGTTACAGAATACTTGGGATCTAAAAATCAGCCATTCTGTATATAGGGCATGTAAAGATAGGAATGGGAAAATGTAAGGCTCTCACGCGTAACTGCAGTCTATATGTCAAGCAGGAAGCACAGTCGTATTGGGGATTTTGTACACGGTAGATATTCGGGCAGACTATTGCTACGTTAAGCATCAGAAGTCCACGGGAGATGTATGAAAAATGTGGCTGTACACATATACGAGATGTGCTACTGCAGTGAGAATTCACGAAATAAGTTTCATAGCTACGTTTACTCGATCACAGGAAGAATGTGTGTAGAGAATCGACAAAACTGCTGCCGTCTGCTGTCACAGCAACACATTCGTGTCATTTAACATCCGAAAATTCAACCTGGAAGTCACATGGGCTGCATACAAATCTACCCGTTTCTTTCGTGATTTTTGGCGACACTTCTTTGACTACTATGTGTACTTTTTAATGAGGGACACGCCATCTTGGGCTTGAAGGCTCGATTGGGATATTATTGATGCCGCTTTTCAAAGCTTTAAAGCTATGACAAATATGTGACAAGGTATGTTTTCTTTCAGTTGGTTCTCCGTTCACCCAACTAGCATGAACAACAGCAACGTACTTATTAGCGGTGACAACAAGGGATACGCCGAGCTCATGTTCGAATACACAATGAACAGAAATCTTCCCGGGAAGGTACGTTGGAAATATATATAGTGGTGTAATCAACACCTCAGAACTCAAGCATTTTAGTTTCATATTAGACACCCAACGAAATAAATTTAATGGAGCTCAAACTATTGAGCTTCCGTTGAATGCTTTTCTTAAAACCTCAGTCCTGCTTTTCTTACCCATTAAGGATCTTTGGCTAATATTGGTAAAATTAAACTCGGAAGAAACTAAAAAAAGGTGCTAGTTAAAATTGCTTTGAAAATGCAAAAAAAACAAACAAAACTGCGAATACAGAGCAGCCGAGGCAGCGGGGCGGATTCCTCGCAATTTTGACGGAAGCGTAAGACACATTATGAATGCTTGTTTTTTTTCCTTGATTTTCGTGTGCGCCTCATCTGGAGCTCTGTGCTTGTGACATAGTTGTAATTTCGGAATATTAAACAGCGAAGTTTCAGTTACCGCGAGCGTCCGTTTACATACCATGGGCGAAATGAAACGATGCTTGCCGTTTATCTGGCAAATTCACAAACGCTCCAGCACAAGAAATCGCAAGTCTGGTTCAAAAAGATGCTATGTTAGGAGCAAAGTCTAACCTATTATGTTTATAAGGCTATAGGTTTGACAAACCAATGTCTCAAACGTCATACATTTATGTTCGGCAATTTCAAATTCTTTATTCCTGAAACGCGATTGCCCAGTCTACACTTGCACAGAATTCTTGGCTGCAAAAATGGCTCAAATGAGATGTTCTCTGACTTACGCCGTCTGGTGCTATCAATAGGTTCCTTAGCATTCACGTCTAAACAGTTAAATATCGCGTTACAGCCACGTGTTACAAATATTATGTGACGACCACATGATAAAATGTGTCACGCATTTTTCCATGGTTAAACGGCTGTTCGTTGAAAACAAAGCAGGCTGCAGTAATTTTTTGAATCAGTTATCCTTACAAGGTAATCCGATTTTGACGTTATTACAATGCGACCACACCGTCGCGTCGGTATCTTATAAAGTCTTCATTTTCACCTGTGGCAAGAGCCTATTTCAGAATATTCAAGTCGTCAGGACACAGACATTCAGCCTACTACATAAGGGTCATTTCAGGGTTATTCGTTTGGGGATCTATGTAGAGCGATTGACCAGACATTAGACTTTTTTTTTCTTTTTCGGGAGCCTAATGGCAGATTGTTGCTTATGGTTTTCTCACATTTTTGTGAAGCATGCTGCCCACCACAACATCAATTTTGTTTTTTATTGCATTTTTGTAGCAGATATACTTTTTTTTAAGGTGCTTGCGATATCTCTGAACATGTTGGCCAATTTGAGGGATGGCTGGGCGTGAGTATGTTCTCATGTGGGCGCGCACTATGAGCATCAGGTGTTGCGTTGTTCACAGGGTCCATTCATCGCCGCTTTTGCACAGTCCAATGAGGGCGACGTGTCCCCCAACCTACAGGGACCACGGTGCATCGACACGGGTCTTCCGTGTGACTTCGAGACATCTACCTGCAATGGCCGGGTGAGGAGAACAGCTATTTCCTCTTACACCATCTGGAACGCATCATGAATAGTGAAGATTTGGGCATTTGCAACTAATAAGTGGATACCACTTGATATAAAAACACTAAAAAAAGTGGGACACCTATGTGAGTGTATCGAATGAATTATTTTGTGAAGGAACAACTGTGCGAGTAAGCCAACTAGCATCAAAGTCCTGCTAATAATTGCTATGATAGCTAGAGCCAAATAAACACGGTCAAGACGAGGGCAAGGTTATTTACATTGGTCGTACTAAATTGTATTCAACCACTAAATTATGACATACAAGTGTAAATACAAAGTAATTTACGTTGACATGGAGCATGAGGACGCAATTGTCGGAAACGGCGAGAACTCATGTGCGCTGCCCGAATAAATCTGTGTGAACTCTAATCTTGTTACATTACGCTGGCTTCAGCTGCACCCTTTGGCAATTATTTCTAGCAGCCTATAAATCATCATGGCTTGATAGAAATGAAACCACTGTAAACCTGTAATTTCGTGTACCTTACGCAAACGTCAACATGGCCATTAACACTCACTAGTCTCCTCACTTTTCTCAAGAGCTACGAAGAGTTCTTTCAATTACTTCCTTCCGATCTTGTGCTATACCAAGTTGTGAAATGAAAAGAGCATTTCACTACTGCACCAAATACTAGCTGTTGCAGTTGTGGATCGAAAAAAATTGCGTTTACCTTGCGTAAAGAGTAATTTGTGAATAAAAAGCAATCAATCAATCAAAACACTTTTACGTACAAGAAAAGGTCATGACGTTCGTTTACCAGACAATATTGATGATGCGGCATGGAGGTACAGCGTTCGTGACATAAGCGATTTGATACTGATCTGATTAGACAAAAATAATTTATTGATAGCTTATAAACAAACAGGTATCAAATGCTCTTGTGCAAAAATTTTACTCTTAAAAAGAGGCATTTTTATGGGGCTACAGCAAGCAACAAGACCCCGAATCATAAAGCCTTTACTGTATATTTGCGTTCTTCTTCCTTCCTCCCCATGCGTCTTCTTTTCCATTTTCTTCCTTACATAGCACCTAGCAGCACTGTGTTTCTAAAGAAGCTTATGGGAATTCGCACCAAGCCAACCTGAAGTGGAGCGTTGGCTCCAGTGTTACGAAACCCCAATAAAAATGGTAACTGTCAAAACAAGGAGGCAAGTAAAAGAGTCGTATAGCATACAAATGATGTTGGAGCCTAAGTGTACTAAATGTTAGGGTCAGGTAACTGTCAAGAAAAATAATGAATATTAATTGAACGAGTTCGTTGGAAGAGGAGAATGTCTTCTTGTTTCTGTGATAATAATCGTTGTGACACCTGACGGAACCAATCGCAACCACGCGCTTCTTTATGCGTGGCCTCCGCGATCCTATTCAGCAGCATGATGGTGTGCTGCCGAAGTTAATCGCGAAGGTTTTGCAGCGCTAAGCGCACTTCAATTCTTCGAGTGTGCCTAAATTGGTTGAACGAGCTCATTCAATGAGCAGAATGTCTTCTTGGTGGTATGTGCCCTCATGATGACACATACCCACTACATAACAGTCTTTTTCTATGCCCGAATGAGTAAGAATTCACCAAATTTTAGGAGGAGCTGGCACAATTAAATACACCTAAATGCAATGTGAAAGTCACAAAATTTATTTTTAAATGTAGGCAGTAGACGCTACAATCCTTTATTCAACGACGCTGTGGCAGCTGGTGCACACAGGCCATTTTATTGCACAACAAAATAGGCATATAATTCCAAACGTGTTGTGCTTGTGCGTCTTTTTCTGACAATGCCTGATTCTGAAATTATGTTTCAGTGTTGGCTCTCGTTCACTGACATGATGGGCTTGTATTGCATACCATGCATTGCATGCTGATATAAAAAATAGTCTGTCGTACAGCGTGTGTCAACTTCGTAAATAGAAGTAGTTTCGGTGCTTCCTGAGGTATTGGTACCACTGTGTGTTTCGCACACCAGCGTAAACGCAGTGTATAGATACCGGTTGCACTATAGTGTGCAGTACCACCACTCAGTGTCGGTGCTATAAAAAGCCTTCTCACATTCTTTCCTCGTGACACGTAGGAGCTGCAGACAGGCCGCTGAGGCGCTACGTCTCTGGCAATTAAAACACTGATCGCCTTCGAAATTAAAAAAAAACTGTCGATGTGCAGATGCAGCCTTATTTAATTTGATTATGATTTTGTTCTCTCGATTCCAGACTGAAAATTGCATCGCTTTTGGCCCTGGCAAAGACATGTTTGAAAGCACAAAAATTATTGGTGAGCGGCAGCTCCAAAAGGCATTGGTAAGTTGCGGTGACGTAATAATGACGTTTGCAGTGTTTGCTGTCTTTGCAGTGGCAACACTCTATTCGCTTACCGGAAAGATGAGCAGTGTAACGTCCTTAGATTTGCCTAAATTCAGTATTAAGCTCAAGTTCCCTCACATCTTTCGCTAATATGTTTCCGCTGCATTTAATCCTATTTACCACAGAAACTAAACTTTCTCAGCTATATGCCTCAATTTCATGATAATCTGTTAATATGATATTGTGTGACCTGCGGTAATTTCTTTTTTTCGAAAACTAACTTACTTGAATCATAAGACTATTTTCTGTTGATTTTCCTGGCAGACTGCTGTATATTCTAGCCAAGCAGCGCCAATGTTTAAAATAATGAATTAATATCGGTTTTTTCTTATGAGCTAAAAACATGATATTGCTACATGCATGTTGACATTTTGTAAGACGATGCGCGTGTGTGCCTGACGAAGAGGACGAAGAGTAGTCTCGGCTCAGTGTCTGGTCAACTGATGCTGCTGGTTTGAAACATATTTATCCACAACCTTGACGATACGGCGTCCCTTCTCTTTCGTAACATATTTGGTGGAGGTGGAACATTTCTAGTCCTCACCACGAAGCTCCGAAGTGGCCGCACCGTCCAGCTTCCGGCCATGGCTTCCAATAATAACAACCCGCCACTGCCTTCAGCTGGAGTGCCAGCTACTACATACCTTGCGATGTCCCACCCCCATGATACCGGTGCGTTCTCCACCCAGCCTGGCCTTGACGTCGACTACTGGCTCCACATGTACAAGCGCGTTAGCCTATCTCACCGATAGGACCCTACCATGATGCTCACCAACGTAATCTTTTACTTGGATGGCACCCCACGTGTATGGTTCGACGCTCATGAGGCCGAGCTCACCAGCTGGTACATCTTCAAGGAACGACTACGTGACATCTTCGGGGACCCGTCCGGTCGACAAATGGCCGCATGACAAGAACTCGCCACACGTGTACAGTCATCAACCGAGTCGTATGTCTCGTACATACAGGACGTGCTCGCGTTCTGCCGCAAAGTGGAGCAGCCATTGACCAAGAGCGATAAGGTGGGCCACATACTCAAGGGCATCGCGGAAGACGCTTTGAACTTGCTCGTGTACAACAACGTCACGACCGTAGATCTCATAATTAAGGAATGCCGCCGTTTCGAAATGACCGAAAACCGCCGAGTTCTGCCTCAATTTTCGTGGCTTCCAAACACGGCTGTCACGTCAACCTGTACTGATCTCGGTGCCGCACCACCCTTGCACGAGAATGTCACACGCATCGTTCGGCGCGAGCTTGAGACGGTCCGTCCAGCACCGTTTCATGCACTTCCACTCGACCAGGGCACCGTGCAAACACCTCCGGCGGTGTCAGTTATTCAGGCAGTCATGCAGCAAGAAATTGCTAACCTTGGTTTTCCTATCGCTTGCTCCGTCTCCCGACCGTACTACAGACCGATGCCAATAAATGCGCCACGCCATGACCCATACTTTCTGCCATGATCCCGCAATCCGACGGAATGGAGCACAGCAGACGACAAGCCAATCTGCTTCCGCTGTTACCGAGTTGGACATGTCTCCCGCTACTGCCACAACACTCGGACGCTGCTTCCGACGCACCTAACAGCCGCTCGACCACTCGTTCACCATCACCGCAACGCCGTTGATCTCGTTCGCCCCAACCCCGCCGCTATCCATCGCCGACTAACTATGGATCTTCCCGAACGGAAAACTAAATTATGCGGCTCCTGGAGGTAGTGCTGCATCGAGTACGACTGACCCAAATCATCCGTTGACGCTCCCTACTAATAAGAACTTGCTGGAAATGCATGTGGACAGTCTTTCATCGACGAATTTAGTTGACACTGGAGCTCAGGTGTCTATAATAAGTGCTCGTCTCTGTCGCCGCCTCAAAAAAGTACTCACGCCTGCCGCAACACAAGCCGTTCGTGTCGCCGATGGTGAAACTGCGGCCGTCATTGGAATGTGTAACGCTTGTGTTAGCCCTGCCGGCCGCCATGTTCCTGTTTTATTTACCATGCTCGACAATTGCCCTCATGACCTCATCTTCGGGATGGACTTCTTATTGACGTGTTCTGCCTTGATCGACTGTTCCGCCAGCACTGTCTGTTAAGAACTTTCTCTTCTTCCAGATTCTCGGCCCGAGCTGCCGAAAAACATCTGTACCACAGACTTCAGTCGGATACCACCAAAAGCCCTCAAATTCATTGCATTGGCAACAAGTTCACCCGCTGTTGACGGTGATTACGTCGTCACGCCTATTCTTGATGTTCTGGCGTGCGACATCACTGTGCCACACTGCGTCGTAATCATGGCCTCTAACCAAACATGTCTGCCCATTATCAGTTTCGGTTTCACGCGCCAAGTACTACCACAAGGAATTTCAATCGCCCCGCCTCGACCCTTAAAAGACGCCCACGTCACCACTTTTGTGGCAGACGCATGCCCCGATTTTCCATGTCACCCGCAGAATGCCACATCCCTCGATGCCGCCTTGCGCCCCATGATCGACCCGAAACTGAAACCTCAGCAATCCGACGCCCTATTCCGCCTTCTGACTTCCTACCGCGACATATTTGATATCGACAGCAGTCCACTCGGTCAGATTTCCCTCGTGAAGCACCGCATTAATACTTCTGATTCTCCTCTCATTCACTGCCGATCATACCAGGTGTCTGTCACAGAGCGTAAGGTAATTCAAGAAGAAGTCAACAAGATGCTATCTAAAAGAATTATTCAACTCTCCTCGAGCCCTTGGGCATCTTCTGTTGTGCTCGTTAAAAAGAAAGATGACACGTGGCACTACTGCGTTGATTTCCGCCATCTTAATCGAATCACGTTTATCCTTTGCCCCGAATCAATGATGCCCTCGATTGTCTTCACGGCGCGCGATAATTTTCTTCAATTGATCTACATTCTGGCTATTGGCAGATTGTGGTGGACGAGAAAGACCAAGAAAAGACTGCGTTTGTAACTCTCGACGGCCTATACCAATTCAAGGTGATGTTGTTTGGGCTATGCAACGCCCCTGTCACGTTTGAGCGTATGATGGACTCGCTATTACAAGGGTTCAAGTGGTCAACATGCCTGTGCTACCTAGATGATGTCTTCGTATATTCGCGTACATTTGAGACACACCTCCAGCGTTTGTCAGCGATTTTCGACATTTTCCGCACTGCTGACCTTCAACTAAACTCGTCGAAATGTCACTTCGGCCGCCAGCAGATTACGGTTTTGGGCCACCTTGTCGGCGCATCAGGTGAGCAGCCTGGCCTGGAGAAAAATCTTGCCGTCACGAGCTTTCCTGTATCCCAATGTGTCAAGGATGTGTGGAGCTTTGTGGGACTTTGTTCCTATTTTAGAAGGTTCATGAAAAGTTTTGCAACGACCGCTCGACCACTCACCGACCTTCTGAAGAAAACGTGACTTTTACGTGGGTTTACGCTTAAGCTGCCGCTTTTTCTCACCTCAGCACCCTCCTGATGACTCCACCTAATTGGCCCACTTTGACCCGTCCACTCCGACAGTAGTCCGAACCGATGCGAGTGGTCACAGGATTGGAGCCGTCCTAGCCCAACGCCAGTGGGGACACGATCAAGTTATTGCCTACGCTAGCCGCCTTCTCAGAGCTGCCCTGCCAAGCGCCACTATTCAATAACAGAGCGTGAATGTGTTGCTCTTGTTTGGGTAGTGATGAAGTTCCGCCCATATTTATATGGCGCTAATTTCTCTGTAATAACGGACCACCATGCGCTGTGTTGGTTTTCGTTTCGTCACTGAACGATCCTACTGGCCGGTTTGTGCGCTGGGCTCTGTGACCGCAAGAATATACCTGTACAGTCACGTACAATGATTGATTGATATGTGGGGTTTATCGTCCAAAAACCACCTTATAATTATGAGAGACGCCGTAGTGGAGGGCCCCGGAAATTTAGTCCACCTGGGGTTCTTTAACGTGCACCCAAATCTGAGCACACGGGCATACAACATTTCCGCCTCCATCAGAACAGTTTCGTACAAGTCGGGACGCCTACATACGGACGCAGACTACCTCTCCCGCTACCCGGTCGATGAATTGAGCACCATCCCTGACACCGACACCAATACTTGCGCCTTTTCCGTTTCGCAACTGACCCGCATCAGTGACGAGCAACGCCGTGATGAATCTTTGCGTGCTCTAATCGAACATTTTGAATCACCATTTTCCGACAGGTCCCAGCGCTCATTCGTCCTCCTTGATGGTGTCCTATACCACCAGAACTTCTACCCAGATGGACCAGCCCAGCTGCTCGTCATTCTAAAACCCCTCCACTCGGCAGTTCTCCACGAACTCCATGACCTCCCAACTGCCGGTCACCTTGGTGTGTGACGCACTTACGACTGGATTCGCCGACGCTTCTTTTGGCCAGGGCTTTCACGCTGAGTCAGAAGATACGTTGCGGCTTGTGATAGATGTCAGCGCCGCAAAACACCAATGACGCTTCCCGCTGGGCACCTTCAACCACTTGACATTTCGTCAGAACCTTTCTTCTGCGTCGTTGGATTAGACCTTCTGGAACCTTTTCCCTTGTCTTCTTCTGGCAACAGGTGGATAGCTGTGGCCATAGACTATGCCACGCGCCACGCCATCACACGAGCACTTCCAACAAGCTGCGCCGCAGATGTCGCTGACTTCCTCCTCAAGGACGTGATCTTGCAACGTGGAGCTCCACGCCAGCTGCTTACAGGCCGTGGCCGCACTTTTCTATCAAAGGTCATAGCCGATATGCTTTAGTCATGTGAAACGAGGCTCAAGCTTACTACATCGTACCACCCGCAGACAAATGGACTCACAGAGCGTTTGAATTAGACACTTACAGACATGCTGCGAAATATGTTTCATATGTGCACTTCTTACCCGGTTCATTGGTGCTGCTGTGGTCCTCGACCTGTCAAGTAAGCTTGTCGAATGAACTCTCCCGCTACACAAGTCCATATCGAGTCCTTCGTGAGGTTGCTCCTGTGACATACGAAATGCCTCATCGCCTTCAACTGCCCCACAGACCACTGATATCGTACATGTGGCACGCTTGAAGCCTCACCACTTTCCCGCTGATGTTGACATTTTGATGCGCCGAGACGGCGCTTCTGCCGCCGGGGATTATGCTACATGCATGTTGACATTTTGTGGGACTATGCGGGTGTGTGCCGGACGAAGAGGACGAAGAGTGGTCTCGGCTCAGTGTCCGGTCAACCGGTGCTGCTAGTTTGAAATATATTTCATCCACAGCCTCGTCGATACGGCGTCTCTTCTCTTCCGTAACAATATTAAGGCTTCTTGATGTGGAGGGCTTTACATTGATTTTGACCACACGGGGTACGTGTCGAATGTACATTAGATTCACTTACACGGGTGATAAATAGGCCGCCTTAAATATATGTTTATCAGTGCCCGATGTTATGCGAACATACCTAACATTCGTGAGCTCGCAATCAGCATTCAAGCAAAACCTGTGCCGGACTGGTTTATGCTTCGAGCAAAGCGTCATGTGTATGCACATGTCAAAGATTACAATAGTGCTGATGATACGGCAATCCTGGACTTTTTAGAAATGTCGCTGGGCGAATTTCAGGAGGCATCAAAGCTTGAATGCGTTGAACAGATCTGGAAACATTTTAAGGAAATAGTAGGTTACTGTTCAGACAACTTCATACCCACTCGCGTTAAAAAGACAAAACGAAGAAATCCATGGTTAAGTAGGAAAATAAATCACATGAAGCGTAAACTAAAAAGACTGCGCAGAACTCATAGGGCCTCGACCGAAATATCATGTGCTAAAAAAAACTTGAAAGCAGAGATAGCGCAATCCAAGAAACATTTTTTCAGTAACACACTCACTAACTAGGCTAACGAACTCACCACGTAAGTTTTGGCTATTTTTAAGGAAGCGAATGAGGGAATTGATCTTATTGTAGATGGAAAAGAAGTAATCACAGAAAAGTCAGATATAGCCAAAAGACTCAATCAATTTTTTCAATCGGTATTTTCTGTAAGGATCAGGGTGACGACGAGAAAATTGAATCAGGTACTACAGTGACACTTCAGGAAGATGATATAAATATTAACCGAGAAGGTATATTCAATCAACTACTTCTTTTAAATATCAAAACGTCATGTGGACCTGACGGTATATCGAATAAATTTTTGCGACAATTTGCAGAGTGGCTGTCGTACTACCTAGTGATAATTTTCGAGAAATCTTTAAAATGCCACTCGTTACCTCAAGATTGGCGTAGAGCAATTGTCCCAATTTTGAAGGGTGGTGATAGAACGACATTGAACAATTATAGGCCTGTCTCACTCATGTCGGTATGTTGTAAAATATTTGCACATATATTGGCAAAAAATATTCGGGAATTTTTAGAACAAAATGAATTATGATGCCCCTTTCAGCATGGATTTCGCGGTGGCCTTTCAACAGTGACACAACTGGTTGAAACTATACATGACTTGTGTATAGCTGTAGTTGCCTGTATGGAAATCGATGTTATATATATCGATTTTTCAAAGGCGTTCGACAAAGTTTCACACCGTAAGCTGCTATTCAAGCTTCGCAATGTCGGTATTAGTGAGAATGTTCTCAGTTGGATCAGAGCTTATCTAAGCAATCGACAACAAGCAGTTAGAGTGAGAGATGCTATGTCGGGAAATCGGGAGGTGTATTCGGGAGTGCCTCAAGATTCTGTATTAGGGCCCCTACTCTTTTTTTTTTATACATAGATGATATATTATCAGTTGTCCAACCACCAGTAAAAATTGGGGTAATTGCAGATGACTGCCTAATTGTCTGGTATCATGCAGCGAAGATCAAGTGAATATCAATGAGTGCTTACAAACCCTAAACTTATGGTGTTCTGAATGGGGTATGGAAATTAACATTAAAAATCGACTTACACACACATTACAAAAAAGAAGGGAGTTCTTTCGTTTGCATATAACATTGGTGATAATATGCTGGTGAAAGTCTGTAATTTTAAATACTTGGGTCTAACTATAACAGATAAGTTGAGCTGGCGTCCTCATGTCGATAACATATCTCAATCAGCATGTCAAAAATTGTGCTTCCTACGAAGGAAGTTAGGCCGAGCCACAAAAGATGTCAAGCTGCTTGCCTACAAAACGTATGTGCGTCCGAGATTAGAATACGCTAGCTCTGTGTGGAGCCCGCACCAAAAGGTCTCAAAAAATACATTAGAACGCATTCAGAGAATGTCAGCTAACTTTATCTCCTCCAAATATCGAAGAAAGGATTTTGTTACTGAAATGTTAAAATAATGTAAATTAGAATCGCTAGAATTAAGAAGGCGGAAACAAAGGTTGAAACTTTTTTTTCAGATCCTGCATGCCGGGGTCAAAATAAACAGGGATGATTATTTGAAGCATTCTTACAAAAGGTTTCCAAGAACAACATGCACTGTATTCATACAACGAATACATGCTCGAACAGATATCTTCCGATTTCTCTTTCTTTTCCGATGCTATTAACATGTGGAATGAATTACCGAACAATATGGTGCAAATAAGAACTTTGAGTGATTTTGACGTTGCTCTTGATAGGCATTTTGTTGAGAATGTAGAGTTTGCAGTGTTCATGTATGTGTTTCCTTAGAAATGTTTCATTGGTCATAGAGATCATGTTGTAAATATATTGAGTGAAAAAGCATGTCACTGTGTTTATCATATAATTATGCTATATGTTACAAAGTTCATCTTACGAGTTTTCAAATATTGAATTTTGTGCAACTAAATTCTTCACCCTCCCTGTAACAACCCTCAAGTGAGGGTTAACAGTATGACAAATAAATAAATAAATAAATAAATAAATAAAGGACAGCATGAACGACAGCATACAAGGCGTTAAACATGACACACACAATGCACCCTAATTTTTCTAATCTGGTGCCTTCTCGCTCTTTTTCCCCCCTCTCTCTCTCACACACACACAAACACACACACACGCATACACACACACACACGCACACGCACACACACACACGCGCGCACACACACGCACACGCACACACACGCACATACGCACACACACACAAACACGCACACACACACACACGCACACAAACGCACACGCACACACACACACACACACGCACACGCACACGCACACACGCACACAAACACGCACACACACACACACACACACACACACACACACACACACACACACACACACACACACACACACACACACACACACACCATTCTTTTTTCACTGAGGCTGTCGCGTACATTGACGATGTGGCCCCGTCGTGGGGTGCCGACTTCCTGGCGCTTCGTTGTGGGGGCGTGCGCAGCACCGGTCAGCGCACCCGCGTTGTACTGTCAGCTATACGCGCTGGTGTCGGACAAAGGGCGTCCGGATTTGATGGCTGCCTGACAGAGCGACGTTTCCCTATTTGTAGGACCTGTTCCACTCGGCCTCACGCAAGCTCTCCGGCAGTGTTGGATTCGCCTACCAAAGGGTGAACATGGGGAAGTATGAAGTCAGCGACAACGAAGCAGATCCGGTAACCGCACTTCCTTTCTTATTCATCTTTTTTTTTGTCTTCAAAGGCGTACACGAAAGAAGAACGAGTGTAAATGCATTGTATTAAAAAAGCGGTTCTCGTGATTATGTACACTGAATATATTTACACGCGTACCGGTAAACAATGCGTTGAAGCTCGCGTCATGTCGTGTTACGCATGCTCACTGGAAGTCATACTCTGAGAGCCCTTAAAGAGCTGCTTCATTTATAGCAAACACAAACTTCTGTACAGCTCAGCCCATTCAACAAGAAGTCAGCACCGGTGGAATGAGCAGTGACGCTTTAACAATTTAAGTATAGCTGCTGCAATTTCTATTAACAAAGCGTGTGTCGAACTCATCATGAAGGGGGGAGAGGGGGTGTATATATTGTTGCACGTATTACGCAAGTGCTGCTAACGTTAAATATTCGCAGATTATAGTAAATACAGAGTATCGCACAATATTTTTATATTACCTATCGGCACCTTTTCCCAATTCAAAAAACGAAAAACGATCGGTTTTTTATTGGATGTGTCTTGCTCGCATGAAAACGTGCATATACTTACTTTCACAGGAACTTCACTGTGGCAGATACGATGTCGTTTTCAGACCCAATCGCGTGCAGTAATCGCTTATAGTCATTTTGTACTGTTCCCTCGCATATTTACACATTGTAAAACGGAGGCACTGCTACGAAAACCCATAAATAGTAGGCAATGCAAGTTGCTTACAAAGAACGGTTTCTGTATCACGTCTCAACGGAACGAAATGCCCTCCTTAAAATTGAATAAGGTCAAGGGCCCACAATCACAAAAATTGTTTTTACGCTAAAAATTACCCAAAAGCCACTGATGATGTGGCACACATCATATATAAGCGAATCCGGCCGACTAATGGGAAAAGGCACTGACGAAAGAAAAGTTTTGTGAATTCGTCCCCAGGCCTACGTATCCTTTGAACAGTGAACATAGTGAGACTTCGAGACATGTCAACCAATAAGCCTTTCAGAATAACCGAACTTCTGAAACAATCCTTTTTATTGCTTTATACCGAATTTCGTTTTCTGCACGTTGCTTCAAAAATAAAATGTCTTAATTATCCTCGCAGATAGCTTCGTTTGAATGTGAAAAAAGAAAGCGAAGTGAAACGATGCGCAGCATAGATGAAGAGAGACAAATGACGCAAGAAAACGAAACGGACTAGCACCTTGTCCGTTTCTGGTAATAATAGAACTCTTGCACTGTTTCTGGTTCTGTGCTCGATACCGTACCCGCGTCATTCAGCAATACCGCATGCACAGTAACGATATAGAACAGTCTTTTGCTATATTTAGATACAGCCTTTGTTACTTCGTATGATTTCACCATTTATCAAGCAAGATTTATCAGGGTACTGTAGTTTTAAAAAAGGTGCGCGTCACACACTCCGAGCGTGAGGTCGCAGCTTATAGTGTCATCTGGATTATGGGTGGTGGCGCTGCAATATAGCGCCTCCATAAGTGTGGTGCACCGAGGGATAATTAACCAGTACTTCAATGTTGTTGCCGAAACATGAAATCTTGCACCTAAGATCTCGGTACGCGCAATCAGCCGCTCATTTTGCTCTTTTAGATCACAACGTGTACGGCAGCGTTGGGTTACAGCTTCGCAGCAGGAACGACTGATGGACCGGGCCAGTTCGACTTCACACAGTGTGAGTTGGGGCTTTCTACGGTTGTCATTGAAGCGTAAAGTTCACGTTTGGTTCGCTTTTGTCGGAAGAGAAAAGAAAGCGTGATTTCAGATAAGCTTCGCATGGTTCAGGTAACACCGACATGAACACAATGCAACCGTCTTGACCAGCTGTTGCTGCTCTCAAGCACTCCCACACCTTTTCCTCTTTAATCAAACAGCAACGCCCTACATTTCGGGTGCTATTCTGGTTTCATATGTGGGGTTTAACGTCCCAAATCACCATATGATTATGAGAGACGCCGTAGTGGAGGGCTCCGGAGATTTCGACCACCCGGGGTTCTTTAACGCGCACCCAAATCTGAGCACACGGGCCTACAGCATTTCCGCCTCCATCGGAAATGCAGCTGCCGCAGCCGGGATTTGAACCCGCGACCTGCGGGTCAGCAGCCGAGTACCTTAGCCACTAGACCACCGCGGCGGGGCTCGGGTGCTATTCAAACAACATAATTGCGTGTGCAACTAGTGGCACTTCGTAATGTGATTTCTGCTTGGAACGGAAGCACAATGTGGCATTTATGTGAGGGGGATTCTTTTACACTGTTGAGAAATCTGTTTTTAGGTTTGCCACAGTTATGCGCCTTAAGATCTAGGAAAACATATAGGCCTAATGAACTCCGATACAGGAATTCGACGCAGAAACATCTATATAGTGCAGCCTACTCACATATTACCGGTCTGGCCGTGTCGTGCCACAAGATGGTTCGCAGACATTGTGCGCCGGCTTACGGGTAAACGACCAATGCTAAAGAGGAGCCATATGTAAAAATGAAATCAAGTATTGTGACCGTGAGGCATGTAAACTAAGAATTTCGTTTTCATCTGTGTAGGTGATGCAAAGCACACACCTCCACCAGGGCTAAACAGAGCACTAGCTACAACGAGTTAATCCTTTCCTACGCTTTCAAGTCTACCGTGCGAAATCTAAATCACTTGTCCACTCTGTGACTGGGCCACACTGCCTCGGTCACCGAGACTATTCACCTGGGAAGCTAGTCTGGCTAGGCTATTTGTTGTGCAATCTTAGCTTGGGTCAGAAAATTCTGGTCTACTTTTTTGGCCCGTACGTTGTTGGAGATAGACTTGGCGAAGCAAACCAGCGAATACCACGTTTCGTCTTAACTATAAATGACGCTTCACCGACGATAAGGTTGCCCAGCTATCTTGTTAGAAACCTCGTGCTCGGTGAACCTGATTGGCCTACGCGCTGCACTTGGTGTGCGAAGAGAAAATGTTCCGCAATTTATGCGCCTGCATCCACAGAGGAGAACATTATGTGGGTCGATTAATTAGTTGATCTGACGGAAACGCATTAGCTTAGCACGGAGTGTGATCACGCTCGTCTGGCATGCGCAGCCAGGTTGGCAACGGTAGCAGCGCTTAGGCTTGCCTTTTGTTTGTTAGGTTTTGCTTTCTCAAGTTTTTCTTTTTTTGTTTTGGGGAAGCTACATGCCGTAACCACTATATGGTAATGAGGCAAGTTTATGTGAGGCGGTCCGGTTCATACCTAACCACATGACCTTCGAGATTAACATGCGCCTATATCTAAGCAGTGGTGTTTCTTTTGCATTTTGCCTGTTTTGAAATGCGTCGGCCTGGAATCGTACCCTCACCGTCGTGCTTAGCCGCGCACAATGCCATAGCTGCCAAAGCACCATGGCAGGCGCGGCACCGTTCTAAACACTAGCACGGGGTACCAATTTTTTTAAAACATTTCTTGAAGCCTAAAGAAGTAACACGTGACCTAAACAAATTACACGTCCTACAAAAGAGCTTCTTACGCGTAATGGAAAACCTTCCTCGCTGGCACACAACAACCGAACTTTTTACCGAGCACAAAATTGTGTGAGTAACTAAATTATATGAGTATCGTCTTTGTCATTCCTTCAAGCGTGAAATCAAGTATAGTCAATTTCTACTTCGTAAGATTGCTCTGCTAGAGCCGCGAAAACATATATGCAGAACAAGAAATACAGATATATGGCATGTTCAAACATACAGAACAGCTTATGGCACGCAAACCCTGGAAAACCAGCTTCCGCGACTGCTCAGTAGCTTCGCAGCTAAAAACGCACCTCTTGAAACATTGACAAATAAAGAGTTGTTATCATTTTTTCTTTCATAATTCCTGTTATCTGTTTGCTTTTTTTGGAGTTTTCATTGGAACGATCCTCAGATTTTGCAGCTTTTACTGCGGGCCCCTGTCATCATGTACACAATGATGATGAAATAAACGTATTATTATTATTATTATTATTATTATTATTATTATTATTATTATTATTATTATTATTATTATTATTATTATTATATGCACAGAAACTTAAAGCCCTCGTGAGTATATCGGGCTTTAAGTTTTCAGGTTATTACTCGGCATTTGAATCAGTGCTAACTCTTGTCATGCTGCATGACTAATGTGTTAATGCTGTAAAGTGCAATATGCAATAACACCGAAAGTTGGGCGAGTTGGTGATTGTTCATGATTACAAATAAGCAGCGCACGACGTTGAGAGTGCAGCGGTGTCCCTATCGTCTCTCTTTGTGTAAAACGTCGTGCGCTGCTTATTTGTAATCATGTGCAATATGCAAACCGATGCGAAAATTATCAACAATCGCGAGTAGGACACGTCGTATTTGACTTAATCACGTTCGTTATGATGGCGCGCATAGTTCTCTTACAGAAGTTGAATACTAAACGAGACTGAAGTTCAGAGGTATGGAGTGGCTTGAAGCGATCAGAAGTTTTTCGAGAAAGAACGTCGCTGAAAACAGTGTTTCGGCAAGTTGACTTGTCTTTATCAAGGCATCCGAGTTGCCTTGACGAAGAAAAGTTCACTTGTCAAAACGTTGGCTCCATCTACGTTCTCTGTAATAATTTTTAGAAGCATTTATACATTACTTGTAGGTGGTCAAAATTTCCGGAGCCCTCCGCTACGGTGTCTCTCATAATCATATGGTTGTTTTGGGACGTCAAACCACACAAATCAATCAACCATCACTTGTACTTAAGTTACACTATTAGAAGTAAAGATTCACAAAGTTTCAAACAGCGGCAACAAGAACCTCATGAGCAGAAAGCAACCTATCATTACTTGACATCAATTGAACTATACACGTCAACAGTAAAAGAAACTTAAACTATGTAGCTGAGTCAACTTGAATTCAAAGCGTTCAATAAACTCATTTTCCCAACAGGAGCTTGTCTGCCGTCTTCACCAATTAATCAAGCGACACTGCACTTCTGTCAATCCAGCCAGGCTTGCAGAGAACTGGATTTACACATATGTGCTTATGCAAAATCAATACCTTCTCAAATAATGGGTCCAAATTCTTGTGCTCACCCGTTGCCTTTAGGAAACGCTGAAGAACCTTTGCAGAAGTAGAAATGCTCGGGTTAGCACACCGCAGAGCCGCGCAAAACACGTGTTGCCCGATTGAGCCTTCTTCGACGAATGCCTGGTTGAGATCACTGCGGCTTCCGTTCTCTGCCCGCAACAACTTTTCCTATTTTTCTTTTTCGTAGTTTACAAGCCAACCGAGCGAGATAACTGAGCGCGAACCAGCTTCTAATATCGCTGAGCGAGGGGCGAGAAGTGAATCAACGCTAGTCAAGCACTTTCCGTGCTTCGCCTCATTTAAAATTCAAAAAATAAGGAATAAGAAATGATATATAAACAAAAGAGTTCTTTACAGGGTTATCGATTTTTTTATTTGTAAAAACTTGTGAAAGCCAATAAACAACGAAAATTCACATCATCCTCCTTCCGTTCAACCGGATCTTAGAATGCCCGGCAACCGATACAAGCGTGCATGTTAGTTGAAACCAAAACTAGCGGTGATTTTACGGGGCTTGGCTACAAGGCGTGTTGTTTTAATGTTCGAATTTTATTACATTTTTCTTAAAGGAAAAGAAGGAGCCTCCTTACGCAAGCAAGGCTTAGGGTTGTTTCTAGTGCATCACAAAGCTTAAATAGTGGACAGCACACACGAGATAACATAGAAAGTAGCATGACCTAAAAATAAAAATAACGCACAGTTATGTATTATTCAGCTCGCTCTGACAGACACAAGAAAACGCACATTGCAAATACAGGTGCTCACAAAAATATTCGGAACGCCAGACGGGCAGGTGCTGGTCGGCTTAGCGAGAGGGCGATCGCTCCACAATGTTTATAATGGCGTTGCCTTGAGCCAAAAGGCTAGCGTTAGGTTTTCCTGAGCACTTGGCAAGCAGTTTTACAATCACGCATCATAAGTAGACTGTCCTGTCTGAATAGTGATGACGAAAAGATAAATATTGGCAGACGGAACAAACGATAAACGGGGATTCGCTTTTCACATTGAATGCCATGGAGTTACGAGTGATTCTCGTCCACAATGCAGCAACGACGCAGTCGACCCCATTTTGGAATTTTGTTCGTGACTTCATCGCGACACCATCGAAGGAGGCCATCAAATGTCATCACCCGAAACCCATCCTGCTGCCTGTAGGAGAGGTAAGTGTGCGCGGACTTCTTTCAGCAATCCTCCAGCGCGTTGCAAGTGCATGCTGGCATTGTACAAATGTCCTTTAGTGCCGAAGCTGTAGGTTTAGTACGAATAATGCCGTTCGTGAAGGCATCAGGTTGTCTTAATACCAGTGCACTTCTAGAAAGAGTGCTTTTTGTTCACCAATGGCATTGGGATGTGTCTCTTGCGGGGCTAAGTTTTGCTTTAAGAACGTAAAGTTCCAGACAGGCAACACATTCAATCAAAATAAAATACAACTGGCCATCTATAGTAATAGTAATTGTTGAAGCTGGTGAACCAGAATATGATTATGAAAAGCCCTGTAGTGGAGGGTTCCGGAAATTTCTACCACATGGGTTTTTTTAATTCGCGTGAACCTAAATCTAAGTACTTGGGCCTCAAGAATTTTCGCCTCCATAAGAAACACAGCCACCACAGCACTATAACCAACAGACCACCGCAGCGGGTACATCTCATCACCGAAGCACAGCCTCGGCATGGCATCTATTCTGTCTTGTCCATCTGTCCTTACGTATTCTGTCTCCATAAAATTCGGTCCACTTTAGTGTAGGTAGTTACTTCGAATATTTTTACGAAAGTTTAAAATAAGTATGTCGTACTGGCAATCACTATTTAGACTAGAAAACATGTGAAAGCTTCTTTACCTTGCTAAACACGGTTCATACTAGGAGGTCGCGTGTACGTATATTACTGGAGGAGATTTAAAAAATTGCTTGAGTTGAAGCTCTCGTAATACTTTGCCAGCAGTAGTGAAGCCAGATTTTGCGCGCCAAAGACCTAGAAGCATGCTATTTTTTGGTGGTGCTTACTTAGAAATTATGTGGCTTTGATCTGTTAGTCTAAAGGCTACGTTAATTATAAATTAAAAGGTAGTTATTTTCGATAAAACAATACATAAAGAAGACTATCGAATTGACCTCCAATAAAATTTGCCTTGAATTCAAGGCTTACTAAATAAAACTAGTATCATAAAGACACCCTTCGAGCACTAACTGAGCCAAAAAAGTTGCCAGGCTGAACTCGTTGGGCGTCCTAGGAAAGCGCTCCAATTTAATCGCCGAACGCCAACAGCTCATCATGCCGCTATCAATAAATAGCAGCCACAGCCGTCATTATACGGTGAGTATGGCTTCACTCCTGGGCAGTAATTTCCACTCCAGCAATTTGTTTTCAGCCTCCTTTATGTTACTGCGTCTATTAGGAGATGTGCTGCTAGTGGCTTATATACAAAAACTATGATGACACGCCCCCTGTAGTCATTACGGTACTGCTCAAATAGGAAGCTCCGTCAATTGCAGCGACGCTGCCATGTTTTTCACTATGCTCAAGCCTTACTTCTAACAATGTCCACCACACGAATTTATCTTCACTGAGGGCGTAGCCTGTCATGACGCAGCATAAAGATGGTAATTCAATATCTTTTATAATTTACGTTAAGGTGACGGGGTGGGGGGAGGCGGTACATTAGTCACTATAGTAATTTGACATTAAGAACGTTCTTCTAATGTGACAACTTGGTACCTGTAATCTTTGATAATGACGTTACGCTATTGATTTTTTTAAAAGTGTGTGTCGTTGCAACTGCTTATTTTTTCCGTCCACCTTCAGATGAACTTTCCATATCCTTGGGTGACCACCATCGTTCCTACTCAAATTCTGAAAGTCGGACAGCTGTATATTCTTGGTGCGCCTGGAGAGTTTACGTAAGTGTCCAAAACGCTGGTCTTCTTAACTAAGCTCCGCAAGCGGAAAACTATGTTCCCCGCCAACTCTGACCAAGAATTAAAAAAAAAGCACGCGTACAACGAAACCCTATTCATTGTATATCAGTGGTAGTCACGTGAGCTTGCACTCGTATTTTTTATGTCTATGCGCTAATTAATAAATTACTTTAATTAACAAACTTATTTACTCCTACTCGAATAGGTAAAATTGTGACTCCATGTTATGTTTCGCCTCAAATAACCCTCAAATAACTCAAACCTGCCTCGTTGTTCTTTCCAAAAAAAAAAAAACAAGCATGCGAAACACGTGAAGTATGATGTGAGCGCTTCCAAACATTCCTTAGTTGATACACAGCTGCATTCCTTAATTGTACAGTGTCTCACGCCATTTAATAAACGCACATCAAAAGACACTGCTTACGCATCTATCTCCAATCTTGATGCCTTATACAATAAGGTGACGAATAAACCCAGCCGTGTGTCAACTAAAGAACGCTTGGAAGTGCTCGAGTAGCGGCGCACGTGCTATACTTCCCATGTTTGGCGCGCTTTTTTTTCTCAAAAGCAAAACAAAACAACTACGCATGTTTCAGCAAAAGATACATACTTGACTCAGTATTTATTTGAGGCGAGCTACAGAATCGTTGATATGCGAAGCACGAATGAGGAAAGTTGATATGTAACTTTAAAATCAGCACAACGTTATGAATCGAACATAAATAATGCCGTCCATGACTTACATGTCATGATTATCATTATTGGACGTGTCATTTACCTTCTTCGTGTGTTCATGTAACGTAATACCAAATTTGGTGTATGTGAAGCTAGCGAAATGGCCGCGAGCGCATCATCAGCGTGGCATTTAGTCATGTTGTTACATGAAACGCATGTCATAATTATCAAGTTTGCGCCAGTCTTATACCTTCGTGATCCATCGACGTTACGTAACACCAAATTTCGTATATGTGAAGCTAGCGAAACGGCCACGAGTGCACCATGAGCGTGGCATGTAGTCATGTTCTTACATGACACGCATCTCTTGATTTTATCGTAGCCTCAGGCGCATCGTATGCATTGACCGCGGGTCGCTCGGCCACGTTAGTAGTTTACGAAGGGAGAGAAATGTCCACGACCAGCGAAAGAGCTCAGTTATTGCTAGAGTCGCCACTGTAGAAGACGACTATAGAACAGCTACTATTGAACATATAACAAAAGCATTGACTCAGTGTTTTGTTTACAGCTGCCGATGCGGCATTCTTGAGAGGCGAAGTGTAGCTCGTGGCCTAACTTTAAGGTGCATGCTAGCTAATGAATTGTGGTCAAGGTTATACCAGGAGTACTGTGTGATACGAATGATGTATAGTTATAATGCAGCAGGGTGCGTGCGAAACATGTGATCGGCCTAAACATCACGAATATGAGGAAAATGTAAATGTTTTATTTGTGTCTACATTTTGAAGTCGGCAATATATTCCGTGCAGGTAATTACTGAAACTGTGGAGATGCAACTTGTTGTTGAATCACAGTTCGATCGCACGACGAGACATCATCGTGTCACCGCTGCATAGTTGTCGCAGCGCATCCAACGATATTCATCGATGAGCATATTATGGTTATCCCGTCTGCTTTTTTTGAAATGAATTTTCGCATAAATTTTTGCTCAGGTGGTGAGGATGAAAGACCCAGAATCCATGGTCGTGTTGGCTGGCCTGTCCAATACATACACGCATTACGTGGCTACTTACGAAGAGTACCAGGTACGTTGTCTCGTATGAAGACAGAATGCTATAGCTATAGCGTGCGGACATCCGCAGAGAGTAACAGAAACTGAGATTAGGCAAAATGTTATAGCGAACACATGGTAGGTCATAACTACTGAACCTGCAAGTTTCTTGCATCAACAGCATCATCAGAATAACGCCGTCAGAAAGTTTTGTCAAATGGTGTTGATTCAGACTTATGCAGTGCGCACCTTTTGTAAACATTTGTTTTGAAATAGAAAGGGAAACATTTTTGCATGTTCAAAAAATAGCTATATGCTAAGATGGCTCTGATCGTTTAAGCTGTTGTACTGTTTTTCTTGTTTTTTTCAGTCTCTGTGTTTTCAACCTCGACCAATTTTTTATAGCCGTTCGGAAGTTGATGTTGTTACACTCCAGACGCCCAGCTCTTTCAGCCAAGTAAAAGTACCCTGTCTAGAAAACCACGCGGTCATGATAATAATAACTGGCTATTGACAAGTACGACTCAAAATCGAGAACGCAAGCAATATTTTTGGCTGCATCTGTAACCCGCTCATCTCTTTACTTTATTTTACAATGAGTTACTTTTCTTAATTTTAATGGAAAATATTGCAGTTTACGTGACAGGCATGGATGCTCCGACCACTAAAGAAAACACCAAGAGTGTTTATGGCATTGTCGCTAGAATGAACAACACAATTTTTGTACACACATAAATGTTTTGTGGCAGGGGCGAATCAATGAATGCGATGGCAACAAACTGGAATGCCTTACGAACAAAGGCTAGCAGCTCACTCTTTTAGCTCATGGCCGCTGCAGCAAACTAAGTCACCTTCGTACGGGCTATGGCTTCAACGCAAACTTCGCGGCGAAAGCACAAGCTATGAGCCAGTTATGACTGGCTCATAACAGTTATGAGCAATTTCGGGAACCTCCCTGAAAGGACAGGCGCATGAGCACGAACCACCGCACACTCTAGGTCTATAAGTGCCGGACAGGAGGTGAGCAAACCGGATCCGGCGAAAGACGAGCTGGACAACGCAATTTAAAGCGCGCACTTTGGCCCTTTCCCCATCTCACTGGTGATGGCAAACAAGCCCATAATACGCTGACGAACCTCGCAGATATGCGTATCACCGACGGCAATGTTGTATATAAGTACCCGTTAGAGGGCTGACGGACGAATTTTTTTGTGGTGAAGTTGTTTATTACGTCGCGCTGCGGAGCAAGGGGTAGCACGCTCGAATCCTCGTCGTGCGCTTCGGAGTTTTTTTTTTCGGATCTGTTTTCTTAGCGAGTTCTTATTGTGATAGCAATTATATGGACACTCTCAGCTGGATTTTACCGCCGGCGTGGGGGTCGGCGTCATTCACCGTATATGTATACGTATCTATCTATATGAAAATGCAAGGAAGAAAAATAATTCAGATAAATCACAGCATATTCATGGACTGAATGATGATGAGTGGGGCGAAGTGTTCGTATCTACGTTCGGGCATCCATCCATCCATCCAACTGTGGGTCGATCTGTCCGTCTGTGCGTCTGTCTGTCCGTCTGTCCGTCTGTCTAGTGAACACTGCAACTACCACCATTTCGCATCTTTTCATCATATATTGATTATGTACAGCCCCGCCGCGGTGGTCTAGTGGCTAAGGTACTCGGCTGCTGACCCGCAGGGCGCGGGTTCGAATCCCGGCTGCGGCGGCTGCATTTCCGATGGAGGTGGAAATGTTGTAGGCCCGTGTGCTCAGATTTGGGTGCACGTTAAAGAACCCCAGGTGGTCTAAATTTCCGGAGCCCTCCACTACGGCGTCTCTCATAATCATATTGCCACATGGTTTGCTTGGGTGAGATCGAAGTGTGAAAGAAGACAAAGACGATCTCTCTGAGCTGCTGCTTGAGTAGTCGACTAAACGAGCCCATTTTTTATCAAGTTTGTCGAGAGTAACGTGACAAGACTGGTGGAGTTGCTGGGTACAACGTCTTGCAATCCACCCGATGCCCAAGACCCCGTCCAGCAGCCGGAACACAAGCCCTGCACCCGTGGACACTCCTGTTCATAGAGTAAGCCGCCGCCAACGAGGCCTACCGCCCGAGACACCAACCACTGACGCAGCGACTATGACTTCACCACAAGATCCCATGCAAGCTCCGACACCTTCCACGCCGATCTACTGCACCGTCCAGAACCCGCTCATGCCTAGCCCCTTTCACGGAGCGCAGCATGAAGATGTTGACGACTGGCTGAGTGAGTTCGAACGTGTCGCAGCGATCAATTACTGGGATGATGCCGCGAAGCTCCGGAACGTGTACACGTGCCTAAAAGACGGTGCCAAGACGTGGTTTTTGAACAGGGATGATGTTCTGACATCTTGGCGCGAGTTCCAGCGTCGCCTCCTGGAGACCTACAGGAGTCCCGACCGCCGCGAACGGGCGGAGCGTGCACTTCAATCACGCATCCAGATGCCCAACGAGACCGTCTCGATGTACGTCGAGGACATGACACGGCTTTTTAAGCGAGCGGATCCTGCTATGGCAGAAGAAAAAAAGTTGCGCCACCTCATGCGTGGTGTGAAGGAACAACTTTTTGCTGGTTTGGTGCGTAGTCCCCCCAAAAGTGTTGCTGAGTTCCTTACTGAAGCGGCAACAATGGAGCGAGTACTGCACCAACGGTCTGCCCAGTTTGACCGTCAAGTGAATGCTGCCTCAACTCCCGAGATTTTCGCCACCCCTGGGAGCAAGAGCCCCGAATGGATTCGCGAGATCATTCGATCTGTCGTCCGGGAAGAAATGGAAAAGATGTACGGGACAAGGCAAATCGATGTTGGTTCTATCACCAGTGTCATCCGCGACGAGGTCCAGCAGGTGCTGCACGCCCATCGTTTTCCGCCCACGTCGGTTGATTTGGAAACGGCTCCTGTGTCTACTGACAGTCGCCGTCGTACGTACGCGGAAGCCTTGCGATCTGCCACTCCTCTTTCGGGTCAAGGAGTCCCGATCCAGCCAGTGCCGCACGTCCCGATCCAGACAGTGCCGCACGTCCCGATCCAGACAATGCCATACGTCCCGATCCAGACAATGATGCCGTCAGTCGCGATTCAGTCAGCGCACGCTGATTTGGACATCGATAGTCGCCGTACACCGACGCGCAAGTCTGATCTCTGGCGTACGCCAGACAGACGACCCCTCTGCTATCATTGCGGTGAGGCTGGTCACATTTACCGCGAATGCCCATACCGGCAACTTGGACTGCGCGGATTTTCCGTCAATTCCCCTCGTCCCCGAATTGGTCAAAGGCCAAGGGATATCGAAGAATATCTCGCGCAACAGCGTGCACCCTTTACACGACGGCAATCGCGGTCACCATCTCCGAGGAGACCCGCAGCCACTGGGCCACATTTTGGGGTGACGGCACGGGAACGCTCCCCGAGCCCTCGTCGGGAAAACTGAAGGCAGCGGCCTTCGGGGGCAAGGTCGCTGGGACTCAAAGTGCGGAAGACCTCCCATCGATGCTTGCACGCAGCGCCGAAGGCATTTCGTCAGAGAATAATCGCAGTGCCGAAGAAACGCCGACATCCGCATCTGAACTTAGTGACCGCGTGTCGCTCGACATACCTGTGCTGGTTGACGGTCTTCAGGTCAGTGCATTGGTAGACACTGGTGCAGACTATTCGATCATCAGCGGGAGGCTAGCGAAAGATCTCAGGAAAGTGATCACGCCGTGGAATGGAACGCGAATTCGAACAGCTGGAGGACACGTTGTAACACCGCTGGGTCGCTGTACCGCAAGAGTGAAAATTCGTGCGTCAACGTTTGTGCTCAGCTGCCTCGTTCTTCCCGACTGTTCGCGTCAGCTGATTATCGGCATGGACTTCCTTCGGGAATACGGTGCCATCATAAATCTCCGTGAGCGCATCGTGACCTTCTCGACTCAAGGCGCAACAGATCGAGACGCAGATAACTGCCGTAGACTTGCGCTGCGTGTTGCTGACGACAGTGTGACGCTGCCACCTCGAGCAACTGTTCCCATCGAAGTCACTTGTGAAGACTTCCAAGACGGCGACGTGGTGGCTGAAAGCAACTTATCACTTCTGCTGCTCCAAGGTGTATGCGCCGCCCGAAGTGTTGTGCGCGTCCGTGACGGACATTCAACGATACTAGCTACGAACTTCAATTACGAGCACCGGCATCTTTTCCGTGGAACCACCCTAGCTTATGGAGAACCTGTTGCCGACGTCACGGAGTGCTTCGCGTCCGAGGAAACGCATGGGGATAAGGAATTTCTAGACCACATCGACATAAATTCCACGCTGTCAGACGAAAGAAAGGCTGCACTTCACGACCTTTTAAGTGAGTTTAGATATTGCTTCGCCTCTTCTTCTAAAGTCCGTCAAACGCACCTCACGAAGCATCGAATTATTACCGACGATGACGTCCGCCCCATCCGGCAGCAGCCTTATCGCGTTTCTGCCAAAGAACGCGAGGCTATCCAGACACAAGTAAAAGAGATGCTCGCTGACGGGATTATTCAACCATCCAGCAGCGCTTGGTCCTCGCCAGTCGTTCTAGTAAAGAAAAAAGACGGAACGCTGCGATTCTGTATTGACTACAGGAAGCTTAATAGCGTCACAAAAAAGGACGTCTACCCGCTTCCACGAGTAGACGACTCCCTCGACAGGTTACGACGTGCGAAGTATTTTTCGTCCATCGATCTAAAGAGTGGCTATTGGCAAATTGAAGTGGATGAACGAGACCGAGAAAAAACCGCGTTTGTGACTCCAGACGGACTTTACGAATTCCGAGTTCTTCCCTTCGGCCTCTGTTCTGCACCAGCCACTTTTCAGAGGATGATGGACACAGTTCTCGCTGGCTTGAAGTGGCAAAGCTGCCTTGTCTACCTCGATGATGTGGTCATCTTTTCCGAGAGCTTTGAAGAACATCTGAAGCGTCTGAGAAAGGTTCTGGAAGCCATTCGCACAGCTGAACTTACGCTGAAACCCCAAAAATGCCATTT